CTTGTTTTAATTGTCTTCAACTTCAAGTTGAACTTGCATATGAGCAGTTGATGGTGTGTTCCACAATCAGCTCCTGGCCTGGTTTTGGCTGAAGATACTGAGTTTTTCCATCACCTCTTCCCACAGATGTAGTCACTCTTGATTCCTGTGTACTCTGTCTGGTGAAGTCCATGTGTATAGCCGCCATCTGTGTTGTTGAAAAAAGGTATTTGCAATGAATAAGTCGTTGGTCTTGCAAAATTCTGTCACATGATCTCCAGCGTTATTTTTGTCACCAAGGCCAAATTTTCCAACTACTGGTAATTCTTTGTTTCCAACTTTTGCATTCCAATCACCAGTGATAAGCAACACATCTTGATTGCATGTTTGGTCAATTTCAAACCGCAGAAGTTGATAAAAATCTTCAATTTCCTCATCTTTTGCTTGTGATTGGTGTGTAAATTTGAATAATAGTCGTATTAACTGGTCTTCCCTATAGGCATATGGATATTATCCTATCATTGACAGCATTGTACTTTAGGACAGATCTCAAAACATCTTTTGTGATGATGAATGCCACGCCACTCCTCTTCAATTTGTTATTCCTGGCATAGTAGATCATATGGTTGTCTGGTTGAAAATGGCCAAAACCAGTCCATTTTGGCTCAGTAATGCCCAGGATATCAATCTTTACATGTTCCGTTTCATTTTTGACAACTTCCAATTTTCCTAGATTCATACTTCATACATTCCATGTTCTGATTATTAATGGATGTTTGCAGCTGTTTCTCCTCAATTTGAGTCGTGCCATGTCAGCAAATGGAGGTCCTGAAAGACTTACTTTATCCATGTCATTAAGGTTGGTTCTACTCTAATGAGGCAGCTCTTTCCCAGTCCTATTTTGAGTGTCTTCCAACCCAAGGGGCTAGTCTTCCTGCACTGTGTCAGACAATGTTTCCAAGCTATTCATAAAGTTGCCCAGTAATGTATCAGATAGTGTTTCTCTGCTATCCATAACGTTTTCCCTGGCCAATTTCTGAGAAGTTGATGGCCGCCTCCTTCTTCCTCATCTGTCTTAGTCTGTAAGCTGCCTTGAAACCTGTGTACCATGTACAACTCTGCTGGCATCTGAAACACCAGTGGCATAGCCTCAAGCCTCACAGCAACGTACAAGCCTCACAGGATGACAAACTGACAGACAAGTTTGTCTCCCTCAGCTGTTCAAAACCTCTGCACCCTCTTCTTACCTTATTCCTACCTGAAACCTGCCACTCTGAGGTCCCCAAGGCCACTCCTGGGCCCTCCCTTTCCTGGTTCTAGGGGGCTTGGGGGCTAGCCTTGCCTTCCTCCACTTTTAACCTGGATATCCTGCCACTCCTGAGGTTCCCAAGGCCGCTCCTGGACCCTCCCTTCCGTGGCTCTAGGGGGCCTGCCTACAAGGTGCTATACCATCAGCTGCTTGTTGCTTTCCAACCTCTTCTACTCTTCTCCCCATGGCTTGCTCACTTGCAGTCACACTGGCCTCCTTGCTATTCCTTAAACACATTAGGTACACTCCAGGGTTTTTGCCCTTGTTACTCCCTCTTTCTGGAGCATTCTTTCCCCAGACAGCCACAAAACCTTCTTTCTCAGTGATGTTTGCCCTGATGACCCTATTTAAAAATACAGTTCCCAATACTCCCTATAGTGAGCCCTGGTGACTCAGTGGCTAAGTCCTTGACTGCTAACCAAAAGATTGGAAGTTAGTACCTACCAGCCACTCCACAGGAGAATGATGTGGCAGTCTGCTTCCTTAAAAGATTTTCAGGCTTGGAAACCCTATTGGGCAGATATACTCTGTCTTATAGGGTCACTATGGGTCAGGATTGACTCAATCAATGGAACACTCCCTTATCCCTTTACCCAACATATTTTCCTCTAAACTTCTCAATTTCTAAGGTACCAGGTAACTTACTTATTTCCCTCTCCCACTAGAATAAAGTTCCTTGAGGACAGGGATTTTTGTCTGTTTTGTTCACTGCTTCTCCAATGTCCACAATAGTGCTGGCACATAGTAGACACTCAAAATAATAGACACTCAAAAATACTAACTGAATGAATACCAGAACTCTAGTTACTCCCATCTTTCTGCATCCTGCCAATCCCTTAGTGCTACAAAACCTGTAATAAAAGCAGTGGTGCCATGCCCCTTTTTAATTTTCAACATACCTGTTTCAACCAGACATTTGTTGTCATTAACTGATTTTTCTCATCCTGTAAAATAAAAATTTGAATAAGGCTGATTATTTCAATTACAGAAACAATACTTCTTTTAATAATAATGTTCCCATTTTTAAACAAATACTCCTTTCTAAAATGTAGTACCTATATTCTTTCTATTCATCAGTCCGGTTCTATAAGATCTTTTTTCCAGCCTAATTTCATATTATTCCTTTCTGCATACTTGGTATTTTAGATAAGGGGCCCTAAAGTACACCATTAGCACTTTTAAATTTAACATTCATGGTTTCAACTACTGTATGTCATCAAATCTAAGATGCAATCTAAGATATAAGCACAGCATTATTTTACATACTGAGCACTGAGAAAGAAAAATAAAAGGCCCCAATGAATTTTGAGCTGCTATTAATTATAAGACACATCTTGATTTGTGAGGTGCTAAAATGTGGAAAAGTGTTCATCTGTGAATCAGTAAGATACAGTATTTCTGTGTATTTCTGAGGAAGTATAATTTGTAGTCATTTACCTCTGATGAGGCATGAATTTGAGTCTTAGTGCAGGGCTGCAATACAGAAAAAAAATATTGAAGTCATGACCCTGAATACCAATTTCATAAAGCTTTCAGATACTTTTCTAGAGAACCAGGGGTCCTTGGTACTTGCCACATATACCTTCCTGCTGTTGCATCTTTGCTTATGCCAGTCCCTCACTGAATTTTCAAGGTCTAATTAAAATGATATCTCCTACATTAACTTTTACTGAAATATCAGGCTCATAAAGGGCCATCATAATCACTGACCACAATAGTGTATGTAGGATTCAATGCTAAGCACAAAGACCTAGAGACGTATGAGGCAATCCCATTCAGCTGGGGGGACAGGACAGGGACATAAATAGCTTAAGTGACTGGATTTTACCTATTCCCTACCTCATCCACAACAACAGGTAAATGACCCAGAAGAAAGGAGGAGAGCAGAAGGGAACCATCCTAGGGACAAAGGCAGTTCTGTGAGGTCCCTACATGAGAAGAATGAGTACTGAGAAATACAGCACTGTGAAAGCAATCCACAGGTATCCCTCTTTTTTTTTTTTTTTAATTGCCCCAGCTTCTATCCATGCAGCACCTGGTGGGTTTGAACTGCCATCCTTCTGGTTAGCAGTCAAACGCCTTAGGTACTTTGCCACCAGAACTCCTATATAATGGTACAATACATATATAACCTATAATACATGTCTTGACAGTCATAATGAACACTTACATTACTGCTTTAGGTGTGTATTCTATTGTATTTTCTGGAATTCCTTTTTTTTTCAAATTGTAATTCATTTTTTTATTGTGATTTGGGTTAAAGTTTACAGAGCAAATTCATTTTCCATACAGCAGTTCATACACATTTTGTTTCATGACATTGACTGCAATCCCCACAATGTAACCCAAAGAGCAATTTTCCTTGATTACAATACTAGAGCTACAAAGGACTTAGAGATTTATCTCCTGAAATCCCTTCATTCTGCAAACATAGAAACTGTGGCCCAGTGAGGCAACTTGCTTAAAATCATACCAACAATTAGTGGTAGAACTGATGCTAGAACTCAAGTGTGCTAAATCTAAACCCCATCCTGCTGGGTCTATTGTTTACCCCAAAATCACACACCATCCAGAACAAACACTGAGGCCTGTATCAGAATATGCCCACTTGGCAAAAGTTCTCAACTAGGACAGTTCTGGTAAAAATATCATCTATAATGTTCTGTGGCAGTGGGTCATCTTTTAAGAACCCGATGAAAGTTGTGGACCTTTTTCCCAGAAAAATGTGAATACATAAAATTTTGCTCTATGAGTTAGGACCCTGCCAATGCTTAATATTTTCAACAGTGACACAGATAAAAGCACAATCCATAAGCTCTCAACTGGTCCCAAAGATGTGGGAGTTGGCCATTACTCTAGAGGATACAGCCTAATTTAAGGTGACCTCAAGTATTTCCAGAACATCTCTAATGTGCTCAGCACAAATGAGGATGTAACAACATGAAATTGAGTAAGAACAAATGTAGGACAACACAAGGAGGAAAAACAA